GGTTTTTTTTCGCTGCTGGAGTCTGTCCAGGGGCCGCCCCAGGTCCTGGAGATAGTCCTAGGACTGTCCCCAAGAGAGGAGGGAGAGCGCTGAGGACACAGCCAGACAGCCCAGCTCCCGAGGGCTGCAGGGGAACAAAGCCATCCCACGGGGACCTTTGTGCTGGAATTAGCTCACTTGAGGGCAAAACCACAACGGTCCACAGTGACTGATGTGTGAACAGCAGGATATCAGCTGGGAGCTGCGCAGAGCTGCCTCCAGTCCCTGCTGCAGTGTCCAGACCTGCCTGGTGCTGCACAAGGGCCACCAGCAGGGCTGTCAGCTGGTGATGTACTCACTACTCATGGGCTGACAGCGGCAAGATAAGGCCTTCTGCCCTGTGCGGCCTCCAAATCACCCTGGGCATTACCTGCTCCGGTTTTCCAGACTTTTGGCCCTAACAAATTGGACATAATCAACCCCAGGCTGTAAGGGAGGAGGGAGGCAAACCCCCTTAGACTTCCTTGCATGTAACAGAGATACGGTCGGTTTTTCTGCAGCATTCAGTACATCTGGTGCAACTGGAAGTGTGCCAGGATCTGGGCAGACCCTCAGCTTGGATCAGCAGAGCAGTTGCTGGGCTCTCAGGGACAGCAGGGGCAATGGGGCTGCAATGGGGGACAACAGTACAGGAGGGCACAGTGCTACCACCAGCACTGGTGCCACAGGGCTGCGATGAGATGGACAGGGCTGTGATGTGATGGGCTTCCCAGTGGCTGTGGGGCTGCATGGCACAGAAATGCACAGAAATGGATTGATAACAGTCCAGGAGAACAGCCTGGATTGCAACCGGGTGAGCCAGTGAGGGATGGGGTGCAGCATCAGGATGCCAAGCAGAATAAAGGCATCACAAGCTTCCCAAGGCAGGAAGCTCAGAACAGCTAAGAAGTCCTACTTGGTATGGAGATGTATTTGTGAGGCACACATAATCCCCTCCTGGAGCTCCAGGGATGCTTTTCCCACCCAGAGCACTCTGGCACATCTGTGCTCGGTGTGAGGGAGGTGCACAGCAGCCTCTGAGCCCAGAGAGTGGCAGAGGTGTCCCTGGGAAGGACACCTGGAGCCACCAGCCCAGCTGCCACAGACAAACTGCTCACAGAAATGATACCTAGGAAATGGTGTGTCTTCGTGTGCCCCACCTGCATCCATTCGATGCTTACGGTGACATCTTTGCCCCTGGGAAACCCGGCCAACCAGAGGCACCTGATTCTTGCTCCTGATCTCTGGGGCACAGAAGCACAGCAAGGCACAGCCCATCCCAGCAGGGCTCTGCTGTGTCCCAGGCACTGGGCTCTGGGGCAGCCGATCTGGCTGCTGGATCCTCACTGCTGGTGGGGAGCTCTGTGGGTCCGCTGCACGGCCCTCTGCCAACCACTTGCCATGGCATGCTTTGGGAACTGCTCCTTTAGACACACTGACGAGAGCAGAGTAATGTATTTCTACTGGAAAATAAACATATCTCTAATGAAAACCTGGTGTACCATCATTGAGTTCTTTTTTTTTCTTCTTCTTTCCTTTTTTAAAGTGAAGATTAGGGCTTTCGGCCTGTCAGACCCAAGCCTTTCCTCCTGCTTGCCATGACAGCCCATCAGCATTTTTTCTCAAGCATAAAGGGAGCCTGAAAACTTAAACAAGCGCATAGAAAGCAACAGAAAACCCAAAAGAGAGAAAGGACATTTGACTAGGAGCTGGTTTCCCTTCCCTTCCCTTCCCTTCCCTTCCCTTCCCTTCCCTTCCCTTCCCTTCCCTTCCCTTCCCTTCCCTTCCCTTCCCTTCCCTTCCCTTCCCTTCCCTTCCCTTCCCTTCCCTTCCTTTCCCTTTCCTCCCCTCCCCTTCCCTCCCCTCCCCTCCCCTCCCCTCCCCTCCTCTCCTCTCCTCTCCTCTCCTCTCCTCTCCTCTCCTCTCCTCTCCTCTCCTCTCCTCTCCTCTCCTCTCCTCTCCTCTCCTCTCCTCTCCTCTCCTCTCCTCTCCTCTCCTCTCCTCTCCTCTCCTCTCCTCACACTTGAAGCTGAAGCAACAGGATCAATTTCTCAACAAAGACAATTTTGCTCTGCCTGGTTACCCCTGACATTTAAGTTCCACCAGTGCTACCTGAAACAAACTAGAAGATGAAACATCTTTGCAGTGGAATAACAGTGTTGCCAAGACAGCATCTCTGGTGTTTCAGTTACTAGGAACTGACTTCCTTGCCCAGCCTGTCTGAGGGATCCAAGCAGGTACTTAAGCAAGTTCCACACGGGAAACAAAAAAACTCTTCCTTTAACATCACATCCATCTTTTCACAAGGAATTGCTTTGATAAGGCTTTTCTGTGGGTGATACATGGCCTTTCCAACTTCAGATCCTTTAATTAAAAGCCAGATTGTGAGCTGGACTGCACAGAGAGCAGGAGAAGGGAGCCGATAGGAAGAGACAGCGGCACTCAGCCTGCTGGCTGTGCACACAGCCGTGACCAGCACTGCGCCCCAGCACCCTGCTGAAGGGACAAGAATGGAGTGGAGCCTCAGCAGCCACCTGGAGCTGATCCGGTGGACCCCAAGGGAAGAGCAAACCCTTCAATGTTCTGTCCAGGGATCTGTCATTAGTTCCCGACCTCAAAGAGCTTCTGGGAGGGGGCAGGCCCTGCCCTGGCTCTCTCCCCCTGCCCAGGATGTACTAAGCACTATTTTCTTTGAATCCTGCCTCCAGAAAGGGAAACATTTCCAGCCCCCCCCACTCTGAACACTGCCTGCTCCTTGGACGTGTCAGTGGGACACAGTCATGCCCAGAGCAAAGCCACCTTCCCCTGCCGCAAACGATGGAGAAACATGTTTACAAAGTCCGGGAGACAGCTGAAGGAATTAAGTTACTCGAGTGCTTTGGGATCCTTCAGGATGAAAAATGCTGTGTACATGTCGGATTTTATCCTTACAATTACAGTCAGATGTTAATCCCCTCGCCGGGGTTTGCTAACACGACGATGCCAACAGCAGTGCATCTCACTGAGTAATTGCCCCCTTCCTGACGCTCCCCAGCGCTGCTTCTCAGGGCTGTTTGCTTTCATTCCAGCACCTCTGAGATCCCCCCCCTGTGATCCCACCCTGCAGAGAGCAGCAGAGCTCACATCTGTGCTGCCAGGAGGGCTCGGCTTCAGCCACCACCTCGTGTTGGGCTCAGGGAGTTGGCAGTGGGAACGCTTTGCTGGTTGCACTCTATACCGAGGGTGAGCGATACCAACCACCTTTGCGGATTGTTCTGAGTGCAAACAGGAGATCTGCACTATTTGGTCCCTCTGAGTGCATCTGTGTGGTCCAAAGGAGTGAAGAAAGGCACAGAGTTCCACAAAGCGAGGCAGCGTGGGCAGGAAGGCTGAGCAGGTTCATACTGGGGGCTCTTGAACCCCATGCTGTGAACACCCCTGGGCACACCGGGCCCGGCTCCCAGCCCAACACATGAAGCTCTGGCTCTCTGCAGGCTCGGGGCAGGGTTTTTGAGCTGCCCTTTGGGGATTCTGTTCTCTGCTCTTGCCTGATCATGAAATTGGGCATTTCTGGGATGACAAAGAGCCGTGACCAGCAGCGGGGTGTATTGGTTGGCACCGGCACGACCTCGGTGGCAGCTGCAGCCCCCAGTGCACCCAGTGGGTGCCAAGCATGCCGTGGTGAGAAGCTCGCAGGGCAATGTGCCGTCCCGCTGCCCCTGGCCCCACGGGTCTCTGGTTATCTCATGCCTCCGGGAGAGAGTGACTGGCACGGGCAGGAATGTTCTTACACTGTCAGCCCGGAGGAACCAGCTGTGTGTCCAATTTTTGGACGGTGTTCAAGCGTGAGCTCAGCGCCGAGCAACGTGGAGGTAAAGGAGGTAAGAAGGGTTTGGGTTTTCGCCACATCGCCGCTCACCGGGCTCCCACCCCACCCGTCGCGCCTCGGAGGCCGCGGGCGCAGACCTCCTCGACGGGTCTCCGTTTCCCCGAGCGCGGCGCAGCGAGGAGAGCGGCGCGCCGCGCTCGGGGTCACGGAGGAGCGGCGGGAGGAGGGATGGATGCTCCGGGGCGGCCGCGGGGCTCCCGGCGGGGGGTGCCGAGCCGCCGCGCCCCGAGGCGGGAGGCGGCCGCGGGGAAGCCGCGCCCCGCACCGCGCCGGCCGGCGGCTCTCACGGCGGTGGGGCGGCGGCAGGTGGGGCGGCCGGGGGGCGGCAGGACCCGGCGGAGCGCGCGGGGCCGCGCTGTCACTCAGAGCGCGGCGAAAGTGACAGCGGGGGCGGAGCGGCCGCGCGCCGGGCGCGTATTTAACTTGGGCGGCGGGCGGAGAGCGGCAGTGCGCGGCGGGCGGGCGGGCGGCGGAGCCGAGGGAGAGCGGGGAAGCGAGCCGAACGGAGCCGAAGCGAGCCGAAGCGGGAGGCGCCGAGCCGGCGGCGCGGAGCGGGGAGGCGCCCGGAGCCGCCTGCGGCCGGATGCGCTGAGCGCGGCGGGGGGCCGAGCGGCGAGCGGCATGGGCCGCCGAGGGTGCTGAGCGGAGAGGAGACCGAGCCGGGAGCGCGCCGCGCCGCCGCCGGGGAGCCCCCAGCCCAGGATGCCCCGGGGGGCCGCGGGTCGCCCCGGCCGCCCGCTATGAGGAGGAGCCCCGGGGGGCCGCGGGCGCTGCCGCCGCCGCCGCCCGCCGCCGCCTGAGCCCGCGCCCCGGCGGTGCCCGCGCAGGGGCCGCCCGAGTCGGCCGCGCCGTCGTGACCCTCCTCCCCGCCCCCTCGGTCGGCTCGCCCGGCTATAAAGGAGGGTTTTATTCTCGGGCTCCGGTCTCACGCCAAACCCTGTCACACCGTCTAGACGAGCTGTCGTGGGGCTCAGCCCAGCTGTCACCATGGCGATGGAGACGAGTCCGCTGTGAATTTTGGGGGGAGAGCGAGAGCGAGCGAGAGCGGCGGCGGAGGAGAAGGAGGAGGAGGAGGAGGAGGAGGAGGCGCGGGAGGAGGAGGAAGGCTCGGCCGCCGCCGTGCCCTGCCCTGCCCGCCGCCGCCGCCCGCGAGGGAGGCACGGACCCCCGGCGCTCCGGGCCGCGGCTGGAGCCGGCCCAGCGGGGAGCCCCGGGGAGCCAGCGGCCGCCGAGCGCCTCAGATGCGTCTGTCACACAACGCCGGCCGAGCTATTTAAAGTAACGGGCCTCGCCGGACTTTGTCTCTGCCTATTTATGAGTCCCCGGGAGCTGGCCGGCGCCGCCGGGCAGCGCTAGGAGCCGCGCCGCAGCGCCAGCCCCGCGGGGACGCCAGCGCCGAGCCGGGGGCCGGGCCCGCCCGGAGCATGACGGCCATCGGGGCGCTCCTGCTCTGCTCCTGCCTGGGGCTGCTGCGGCCGGGCGCCGGGCAGCCCTTCCTGCGGCTGCGGCCCTCGCCCAGCGACAACCTGCCGGTGAAGGACATCGTGGAGCACCCGGACCCCGAGTACGACCCGAAGGAGCAGGACCTGGACGAGCGGACTCTGCGCAAGAAGCTGGGCAGCCATTTCGACCCCGGCTTCATGGCCGTGGCCGTGCCGGGCCCCGCCAACGCTTCCGCGGGCGCCGAGGCGGCGGCGGGGCGGGCGCGGGCGGCGGAGCTGCGGCGCTTGGAGCGGGGCGGGCCGCGACTGCGGGTGGGCAAGAAGGCGAGGCGGAAGGTGCTGCAGTGGCTCTGGGCGTACACCTACTGCCCCGTGCTCTACACCTGGAAGGACCTGGGCGTCCGCTTCTGGCCGCGCTACATCAAGGAGGGCAACTGCTTCGCCGAGAAGTCCTGCTCGCTGCCCGAGGGCATGTTCTGCAAGCCCGTCAAGTCGGTCACCAAGACGTTCCTGCGCTGGCACTGCCAGGGCTGGTCCAGCCAGAAGTACTGCACCTGGATCCCCGTGCAGTACCCGCTCATCTCCGAGTGCAAGTGCTCCTGCTAGCACGGCCCCGCGCCGCCCCGGCCCTCGCGCTGCTCTCTTTGCTCGTCTGCATCTTCCGAGGGGGGGTTCGTCCGCCCTCCCCCTCGGGGCGAGCGCGGGGCGTGATGGGGGGGTCGGGGGGAGGAACCGGGTCTGACTTATTTTAATGTTATTTTATTTGAAAGGGGGAGAAGCGAACCCAGGAACTGCAGGGCAGGCCAAAGGCACAGTAAAGCACTACAATCAGATGTCTATTTTTATACGTATATAGCCTTCTAACGAAAGGAAAATAATAATAATAAAGAAAAAAAAAACCCTAAAAAAAAAATCCCAGCCGTGTAAATAGAGAGATTTTAAAGGAAAGGGGGAAATCGCAGCTGTTTTTTTTTTTTTTTTTAATTATTATAATTATAATTATAATTATTGTTATTATTATTATTTTAAAAACGTAGGACCACATTTTAAACCCTTCCCCACCGAACCCGAGCGCTCCCCCCGCAGAGGGCGGGGGGGGGGGGGCACAGATTCCTTTCTTGTCAAGATGGTTTTAACAAAGGGAAAGGAAACCCCGGGGAAGAGCAGCAGCATCCCTGAAGGTGGCCGTTCCTCTGTGCTGTATTTTCCTTTTTTTTTTTTGTCTTCTTCAGACGTTGTCATTGGTGTTCCGGCTCTGGGAGGGGAGGGGGGTGGGGGGCGTTAAGTGTATAACAATGACTTAAGGAGGAAGTTTTAAAGAGAAGTACAAATCTATGGAAGAGTGGAATCGTTTTGTTGTGTGGGAATACGTATAGTCACGTAGAGATGCTGAAGGAAATCTTCTGTGTACAGTTTATTTATTTTTAACGTTTGTGTATAGGAAAAAAAAAAAAAAGAAAAAAAAAAAAAAAAGAGCTAGAGATTATGCCAGAAACTATTGGAAATGTTTACTTGAATATTCCTTTAAAAAAAAAAAAAACAGAACAAAACAAAACACATATCAATGTAAATAGGAGCTATCAGTGATGGAAACGTTTTTAGCAATAAACTCTATCTTTGAAGAACGGCGCCCGGAGCCCCGCGGGGTCACACAGGGAGCGGGGGCTGAGCAGAGCCCACGGAGCTGCATGGGGAGCTGTGGGAACCCGCTGCAGGAGGAGAGCTGCGCTCACAGAGGGGCAGGAATGCGGTGCGTGGGGCAGGAGGCGCCGTCCGAAGTCATCGGGAGGTTCCCGCTTCGCTTCGCCATCCCGGGCTCCTTCATGCACTGTGCTTGGTGGATCCGGCTCTGGTTGAGGATCCTGGCCCATCTCATCCAGCTGCACGGCCCCGAGCCTCGCGACAGACACGGCTGCAGCAGGGAAGGATGGATGGCAGCCCCGTGCCTGCCGCGGAGCAGCCGTCAGGCCCACATCTCCCCATCGGCACCGGGCTCTGAAGCAGCACCCGCTCCAGCTGGGCGCTGGCACCGCTCTGCCCGAGCTGCTGGAGGCCAGCAGGGAGGAGCCCGGGCACTGCGGCCATGGGGGGGCCCTGATGCACGGCCAGCTGTCTCCTTGCGTGCTCCGTGGGGGCTGCTGGTGGCCAGGGGAAGGTCTGTGCCGTTCTTTATGTGTGTGCGATCTGCCTGGCGTCCTTGAGGAACAAACCACCGCCGAGCGCCCTGTGCGTGAAGCCCGTGGGGAGGCAGCGGGATGCTGGCTGGGGTCCCTCCAAGGGGACTGGGGCCTGGTGAGCCCACCCGGAGCTGGCAAGACCTGAGAGGTCACGCTCAGAAGGTGAGAGGTCAGAATGGGGAGAGGGAGAGGGCTCTTCTGATGGGCAGAGGCGAGAGGCGCGCGGCTGCCCTGCAGCTGACGTCCCGCCCCATGGAGCGCGTGGCCATCCATCCCTATGGAACGTGTGCAGCGTGTGGCCGTCCCCATGGAGCAGGCCAACCTTCCCACGGGGCTGCCAGCAAGGCAGCGGGGACGAGGGGACGTGGAGGGCAGAGTGGAAAGGAGACCTCGCGACGGCAATGTGCAAAACATCAGGGGCATTTGGGAGAGGAAGGGGAAAGCTCATTTTGCAAGAGGAACAACATCTGTGGTGTGGGGGCCGAACATCTGTAGGAGGGAGCATGGGGGGAGGGCATTCTGGGAAAATATTTCTGACATAATCCCAACAGTATCTGGTGTGTTGAGATTTGGTTACAAATGGCCCTCTAACGTCTTTGTGCGTTTTGTTCTGCTGGTTCCAGGGGCACACAGAGACCCCGGCTTTGTGCTAACCTGGGAAATAAACCATTCGCTGGACTCAATGGCTGAGTTCAGTTGTGTGGGGAAGGGGGGCGGGAGCGGGGAAGGAGAGATTTGTGTGAACGCCGGAGAAAACCAGCCTGAAAGCCTCTGTGCCATGTGCCGTGGGAGGAGGGGGCTGCCCGCGTCTCAGGGGAGCGCCTGCTGGTCCCGCTCGAAGCGATGCGACGGCGGAGGGCAGAAGGGAGTGCGCCGGGCACCGAAGTGCCCCGAGGCTCCTGCGGGGCACGGGCAGGGGCTGGGGGGGCGGGCGGCCGGGGGATGCGCTGTCCTTTGCTGCCCGGAGACGCGATGAGTCGGACGTGCGACAGCCGGGCTGCGGGCACGATGGCTCACCCGTCCTCAAAGGAGAGAAAGACAAAGGGGAACGAGCCCGGCTCTTTGGTGCGGTCGCTTCATTGTCTCATCAAGCTGCTTGTGATTAAGGGACGGGCTGGAGGGGAGAAGGGGCACGACAGGCCTCCGTGAGACCGGCGGTGCGGTGGGTGCTGGCTCTGCACACGTGGTTTTTCCAGTCCCCCTGCCCCCAACTATGGGGTGGTGACCCGGAGGGAGAGGAGCCCAGAGCTGCAGGGGTGGGGGCATCCTGTAGGCTGGGTCACGCTTGTCATCGTGTTGGCAAGAGGTGGCTGTGGCCACACACGTGCAGGCATGCACACACAGGGTGTCCGGATGGCACCTCCGGCTGCACAGTGCCTCAGGGGTTGATGCTGCCCTCGCCCTGCGGAGCTTTGCAGTCCATGCCCTTCCCTCCTCCAGGCAGAATTCCCACCTCTGGAATGGCCAAGCCTGCACTGCTCCCCATCTCTGTGCTCACCGTCACGGACTGTGATTTCAAAATGAGTTTCCAGTGCCGGTGACCACAGCGCAGCGTTTGGGAGACTCAGAAGCTGAACCCCATCCTCCTTTGGGCAAGGCAGGGCAGGACACATGGTGGAGGACCCTGCAGCTGCCCTTTGTCACAGCAGGGAATCAAAGGTGCATTTTCCCTGCACAGCCGGCACTGGCACCGCAGTGCTCATCTGCTCCGACCCCATGTGCTGTGTTACGCAGTTCCTGCGGTTCCATCACTCTGGATGTTTCCTCCTTGCAGTTCCTACCAGTACCTACCACTGCTTTGTAGTGACACAGTCACCCGGATGCTGGCCTTTTTGCTGCTTGAAGCCCCGGTCTAGATGATCCCAGCTGCAGGCACTGGTTTGCCAGGTGGAGAGACAGTACAAGCTCAGGATGTCTTCTGACGTTTGAGTCAGTGGCCCAGAGGACTTTTCTCTGCTTTTCATATCCTATCTGGCTTTGGGACCAGAGCAGGTTAACTCTTTTCTCTCCATTTCCCAAGGCTCTCCTCGCTTACCTGTGCCAGTTCACCCCGTTTAGCTCAGCTCTGGGCAGACCTTGCCCTGCCTATGGCTGTTCTCTAGGAACACCACCTCTGCTGGCACTCCGGCTCTGCCGGGCTGGCCTTAATTCAGAGGGCCAGGGCTTGCATCTAATGCCAGAGCCTGAGACACCCGGCTCAGTCTAGGTGATGACCTAAGCCTATCATTCATCATCCCTAGAAGAGCAGGCAAGCAATCTGCGGGCAATAATTGGCCTCCCTTGAACTTTCAAGCTGAGGCTGAACAGGGACTTTTCTCAATTCCCACAGCAGCAGGCAGCAGCCAGCACTGATATATCCACACTCCATGGGAGCAGCAGCGGTGGGCTCTCGTCCCACCATCTCCCCTGGGCTGTCAGGTTTGAGGTTATGGGTTCCTGCTCAAGACCCATCGCAGGCTGTGCTCCTCCTCTCTGCTCTGCAGTGCACCGTCACTCCCTGAGTCTCCACGTGCAGCAAACCCAACCACGTGCCCGGTTGCTCCTAGGCAGAGCTGTGCACGGACCCCTCCACCAGCAAAGGAACTCTCTGGGGCTTCACCCTCAGCCACGCCAAAGACACCAGTTCCTCTGAAAACGTGCCCACGAGCCTCCCTTCCCTTTGATGACTGAAAGCAAACGCTAACAGCAGTGCCACCCAGGAGGCATGGCTGCTCCTCGGTATTAGCTGCTTGCTATTCTGCTTAAAAATGTCAGATGTGCCGTCAAGGAGAAGGGAGCCCATCACGTGGCACCCAGGAGCCCAATCCGAGAGGCAGAGCGAGGAAGAGCAAATCACAGCTGGTGGGGAGGACGCGCTCGCAGGCAGACCATTGGCTAAAATGGCTCTTTCAGGCAGATGGTGAATGAATCCATTCACAAAAAGCAGGTCCAGTTTGCAAACAGCAAACCAGTCTACATATTTATTTTCATGCGCTGGATGAGCCTGCCAGGGAGACATCGAAGTCCTGAAGCAGCTGTGTGGGACGTGGCTGGTGCAGCCGAGTCCAAGCTGTGCATAGATACAGGGATCTGGGGAAGGAGGATTCTGGATCCCTCCATCTGCAGGCCCTGCATTCCTCCCACTGCAGTCTGTGCCCTGCTCCGAGCTACCTGCAGTGAGGTGCAGGTCTTTGAGAGCCGAGGAGCACCGTGGGCGCAGGGACAACCAGGTAGATGTGGCAGGAGATCTGTTCCCCAGTGTCATCCGGGTGTCCTGAGCAGGTTGGGTAGCACACAGTGAGAGAAACATTGCAATGAGTGACGGGTGAGGCTCCTCCTGGGACCTGGAGGCTGGGTTTGAGCCATGCCACGTCTCCCATCGCACCACACATGGCCTTGTCCAGCCGTCCCATGCTGCACACTGGAGGGCAGGTGACCAACTCACTGCCCGACCCCATTCATTCGGGTCCAGATCTTTCTCCCTACCTTTCAAACCACTACAAAGTTCGCTGAATTCAACAACAGCAACAAAAAAGCCATTATGGGCTTTGGAACTGATGCTGCTGGAGGCACGCGCTGAGGTCCTGAAGCTTCTAGGACAGGCAATATCAAAACCAAGCAGCACATGCAGCCAGTGCTTCCCAGTTCACAGCACTGGCTGTGCTGGAGAGTCTGCACGAGGTAAAGCTGCGTCTCCAAGCACCAGAGCAGGACAGGGAATGGGCACGGGGCCTGGGGGGGGCTAGGGGCAGCAGCAGCCCTGGAGGAGAACTCTTTGTTGCAGATGCTGGGGGATCGTTGGTATCCGCGTGTTTCTGGGAGCGTTGTGCAAGAGCCACCAGATCCTTCTGAGGCTGTTGGTGTCCTCAGGCATCGCCTGGTCTGCTTCCACACCATTAACTGCCAAAAGACACTGTCTCTCCAGGAGGTGGTGCTCACAAAGGACCGGGCCGCCGGCCCTGGCTCAGCTATGAGTTCTCGAGGCCGTGACCGTATTTCATTCTAGAGCTGGGAAGAAGCACTAGGCTGGACTCGGCGTTCTGCTCTTTTTGACCATATTTTAGGAAAGATTCTCCTTTGCCTCCTCCCATCCCAACAGAAACTGCAGCCAACAGTCCTCTTGGACACCTCTTCGACCCAGAGAAGGTGGTGTGCAAGTCGGCACACAGCTGTGATGCTGGGCATTGATGGCTGTAACCAAATGCCTTTGTGAAGGTGGGGTGCGGGGGAAGAGGGTGTGCAGTTTTGTAGCACCCAGTGGGTACCAGGGGGTGCTTTCTCAGCCCAAGCTGCCACTGCTGAGCTGGGCTGCACTGCAGCTCAGGATTAGGGTTGGGGTTGGAATTAGGGTTAGGGTTGGATTTAGGGTTAGGGTTGGATTTAGGGTTGGGGCTGGGATTAGAGATAAGAGTTGCAGTTGGAGTTGGGGTTAGGGTTGGGTTAATGTTGTGGTTAGGTTTGGGGCTTGAGTTTGGGTTGGAATTTGGGTTAGGGTTGGTTTTGGGGCTGGGATTAGAGTTGGGGTTAGGATTGGGGTTGAGGTTAGGGTTGGAGATGGAATTAGGGTTAGGGTTGGGGTTAGCGTTGAGGTTACACTTGGGGCTGGGATTAGAGTTTGGGTTGGGGTCAGAATTAGAGTTAGAGGATGCTCTGCATCACAGGAGTTGGATCTGGAGCACGGGCTCCCAGCTACAGGGCTCCCGCTGGGCAAGGGGTCGCACGGGCGCACCGCCAAGGGTCTGCGTCGGTCCTGGGAACCCCGACAGGGCTCCCAGAGTGCGTCCTCCTCTCCCGTTCCTCTGCTGGGAGCCGGCCGGGCGGACAGGCCCGTACAGCCGGCTGGGCATGCCGACGTACCGAGGGCCGGGCAGCCGGGCACGAGCCGGCGGTCGGACGGCCGGGCAGGCAGGCAGGGCCGGGCTCAGCGCGGACCGGAGCCGGGCGCAGCCGCGGGGGCCGTAACCGGGGAGCGAGCGCCACCTGGCGGCCGAGGGAGGGAGCGGGGGGGAGAGGAGCCGGGAGGCGGCCCCGCGTTGCGCCGGGAGAGATTTCGGCTGGCCTCAGGAAGGATTTCTGCACGGAGAGGTGATCTGGCAGGGGCTGCCCAGGGCTGGTGGCGGCTGCCGTCCCTGGAGGTGTTTAAGAGCCGTGGACGTGGCGCTCAGGGATGTGGTTTCGTGATGGAGCTGGTTGTGTTGGGCGATGCTTGGACTTGATCTTCTCCAACCTTTATGATCCCACGGTTCTGCAAAGCTTTGAGGCCGGGTTGGCCGATGGGTGTTGGATACATGTTGGATTAGGGTTCAGATGGGCGCTTTGGCTTCTGATCTGCTGCCACCATTCCTGGGGAGCCCATCTGGCCTCGCTGGAGCCAATGCCTCCCCTCCCCCCCGCCTCTGCAGCAGTCACTGGCCAACAAAGAGACCCAGGAAGTCCAAAGCGCTGTATGGCTTTCCTCTGAGCTGAAGTGAATTTGCTCATCATGGGGAACTCTAGCGTGCCTCGAATATAAAGGCTTCCTGAGGGGACTGAGTGAGCAACCCTCCATCCTCCCAGTGGGAGTGGTAGAAGAAACACAAGCAAAGAAACCCTGCGTAGAAGAAAGGAGATATCCTCCGTGAGTGCCCCAAGTGAACTGGGATACATCAGAGCCTCCATCTTTTTTGCCTGTGCTCCAAGTGTCTGTACACA